TGTTCAGCTATCCAGAAGCTCTTCCAAACCCTGTCCTTTGGGTATTTATGGAGGCTTCATTGTGCAGGCAGATTGTATCATTGGCCATCAGTGATCACCTTAATCTTCATCCCCTGTCTCCTCCCCTGAGGTCAAGGGGTGGGGCTAAAACTTCCAATCCTCCAATCATATGATTGGTTCTACTGGCAACCGGCCCCCATACTGAGGCTATCTAGGATCCCACCAAGAGTTGCTTCATTAGAACAAAAGATGCTGCTATAACCCAGGAAATTATAAAGATTCTTGGGAGCTCTGTGTTAGGAACTGGGGTCAAAGAGCCAATGTTAAAAGATTCTTCTTGCACCACTATCTACAAGGAAATTAGGAGCTCTGTCTCAGGAACTACAACAGAGACCAAACATTAGAACAAAAGATTCTACTAGTGCTCCTATCGTTCAGGAAATTACAGGGCTTTTAGGAGCTCCTTGCCAGGGACTGGGGGAATAGATCAAAATGAGTGTTTCTTATTATTTTATAGCTACATACATTGGAGAATTTAGTAAGTAGTGATTTCTGTTGCAGTCAATTTTTAAAACACTTTTTATTGTTTTATTGTAAAACAGGCACGTATCTGTGACTTTCAATCATGTTTTCCATTCCACTGGCAGTGCTAATTAGCTCTCCTTTTCCTCAGGGCAAAATCTCAGTTTTTTAAAGATGAGACTATGATGACAAGGTAGGTATCTAGCAAGGCAGCTTAAGGACTCTATTGTAGAATGGGTCATAACCCAAATAATGCTTTTCGTTTTGATGCCATCTTTCTTCCTTCCTTATATCACAGAATACCAAAAGTGAGAAACCAGCATAGTGCAGACCGTCTTGTTTTTCGTGGTTGGTTGGTTTGTTTTGTTTTTACTACACTATTGAATCATGTATGAAGCTGTGATTTTTATAAAAAATACTGAAAAGCCCAATAGTGAAAGTTGTATATTGTTTTACGGCACTAGAGGAAGGGAAGACACCAGTTTAGGAGGTAAGTAAGCCAGGTGCTAGCCTTTGTAACTGTAGGCAGGGCGGAAGCAGATTACACTTGTCCTGGCTTCTTGCCTCTTACAGTCACTTTCCTTACATCCTCCAGGTAGTTGTTTCATCACAGGCCTGACCAATATCCTGAGCTACCCTCTAAGCCTATTTCTCCTCCACAGACACTCAGAGATTATTGTGTTATGATCTGATATTTGTCTCCTGCCACATTCTCAGCCTGCTCTTTAAACTATTTAATCTGATTAATTACAGTCTAATTTAGTGTGCTAATGTGAAAGGATAATATAAACTTCACTG